CATAATTGTGTGATTCCAATATTTTGATGCAGCATATGCTTATTTTTCCAAAAGGCTTCTGGTCAATTGGGCCAGTTCCAGTGGATTGAAGTTTTGTTTTTTGACTGAAAGGAATGGACTTGAGCAATCACTTAGCATTCACTGGGCACCTGTTCTGTGCCAGCACCTATTGTAAAGATGCTGAGGGACAAGGAGGGAGGTGGCAGTCAAACACAGGAACAGCAGGTGGTTGAGGGGTGTCTAGTATGTTGGGAAGGACAGCTGTGGTTTGAAACTAGAGCCTGGGACATTCCTCCATTTTCCGTGCCCATTTATTGTGTTGTCATGAGTCGTTACTGTGCACTGTGCTAGGCACTGATGACAAGACAATTAAAGGACTTCCCCAAAGACACAGAATAAGTAAACAGCAGCTCACTGGCTCAAGATCCTCATTCATGAATGTTCCTAACTCACACAACACAGGTCTGAGCACCACAGGGTGATGTGTGTCTTCAGCCTGACCACGAGATGGGCTGGGAGCGGATTTTCTTTAGGTGGCAATAAGCCACAGACGTCGTATCACCCCAGAAAGTAGAGTCCCACTGCTAGCTTTCCATTTCAGAGTCACCACCTCCAGGAAGCCTTCCCAACCCCTCTGCCCGTTCTAAGGCAAGACTCTACTCCTTTGATGCTTCCTATACAATCCCTTGTGTGTGTGTCCCCCCATAGTATCAGAGTATTCATGACCACCTGCAACCATTTTGACTCTACTTACCTTTTGCTTGTGTCCCTGTCCCCCATATCCCAGTGTGCCACTGTTTACTTATTCTGTGTCCTTGGGGAAGTCCCCACCATCTCTGAAACTCCAGATAAGGGCAACAAGGATAGCAATAACTAACACTGACATCACTGACTGTGTGCTTGACATTGTCCTGAGAAACTTACATGTTATTGATTTGTTTACTCTTCGTAGCAGCCCTGTAGATACATACTGTCATTACCCGCTTTCTCACACATGAGGAAACTGAGGCACAGAGAAGGTGTTTTAGTCTGTTTTGCATTGCCATAAAGGAATACTTGAGACTAGATCTTTTACAAACAAAAGAGGTTTGATTGGCTCATGGCTGTGCAGGCTGTATCAGCATGGCCCCTGCATCTGCACAGCTTTGATGAGGCCTCAGGAAGCTTTTACTCTTGGCAGAAGGTGAAGGGGGGAGCGGGCATGTCACATGGCAGGAGAAAGAATGAGAGAGAGAGGGGAAGAGGTGCCAGTCTCTTTAAACAACCCGCTCTTGCGTGAATGAATAGAGCGAAAACTCGCTCATTATCACAGGGAGGATCCCAAGCCACTACTGAAGGATCTGCCCCATGACCCAAACACTTTTGGCTTAGCCCCACCTGTAACAGTGGGTCACTTTTCAACGTGAGATTTGGAGGGGATAAATATCCAAACTGTATCAGAGGGTAAGTAATGTACCCAGAGTCACACACAGGCAGTAAGTGGCAGAGCCAGTATGCAAATCCAAGCTGCCTGGCTCTTAACCACTGCACCACACTGCCTCCTGTGTGATAGGGACAGTAGTTCCCACCTCCAGGGCAGTTATGAAGCTTGAGTGAGACGCATGTTTATGGTGTCCACCCCAGGACCTGGCTGGCAATTCAACTCTTTTTTTTCTTTTTTTTTTAAGATGAGGTCTCACTCTGTCACCCAGGCTAGAGTGCAGTGGCACAATCACAGCTCGCTTCAGCCTTGACCTCCTGGGCTCAAATGATCCTCCACCTTAGTCCCCGAAGTAGCTGGGACTTCAGGTACATGGCACCACACTCAGCGAATTTTTTTTTTTTTTTTTTTTTGGAGAGATGGGATTTCACCATGTTGCCCAGAGTGGCCTCAAACTTCTGGGCTCAAGCAATCCTCCCATCTTGGCCTCCCAAAGTGCTGAGATTACAGGCCAACTTATTGTTTCTGAGCTCTTATTTTGTGTTCCGACTCTGTGCCAGGTTCTGAGCGAGGCACTGGGGATATAGGGAGTAAAACTCACATTAAACATCAGACAAATAATCACACAAGAAGTCAGTTAACTACTTATACGATGAGTGCCTCCAAGGAAAAATTCTGGGCGATCTTGGGTGTGTGAAATGGGGTTTTATCTACCTTGGAATATCAGGAAAGACATTTAAACAAAATCTATTGTGGAGAGATGAGTAGGAGCCATGGGAGAGACAACGTGTGGTGGGCGGAGCAGTCCCGCAGAGGGAACCACATAGGGGAGAGCCCAGAGGCAGGAGAGGTCACTGTGGTTAGAGGGGTGGCGGGGCCAGGCCATGCAAGGACTTCCAGGGCTGAATCTGGGACTATGGACTTCATCCTGAAGGCAGTGGGGAGCTCACCATTTGATGTAGGATTGACAGCCTTTGATGATCATCTTGATAGAGACCACTCTGGCTACAGAAAGAGAATAGAGCAGCCCAGAATGACCAATGAAAAGGGCTGGTAAGAGGTGGTGGTGGCCTGGACTAGGATAGCGGCAGTGAGAGAGAAACAGATTTTAAAGATATTTTGGAGGCGTTTCATTGGATTTGAGAGATGCCGGAGGGTGACTCCCAGGTTCGTGGTTCTATGAACTAGATGGAAGGTAGTGTCACTTGATGAGATGGGGAGGACACAGGGGCATGGCAGGGGAAGGGGTATTATGATCAACAAATGAGAACATTGACTGGGCATGGAGGGGCTCAGCCCTGGAGCTCAGATGAGTGACCAAGGCTGGAGGGTAAATGCAGCACCTAGATGAGAATCGAAACCCAGACTGGTTGAGGTCCACCTGGGGAGGCAGCGTAGGGCAGGAAGAGAGGGGAGTTCAGGACAGCCTGAGGAACCCTAGCATGAGAACAGAGAAGGCGAAGGTGAAGCAGGAAGGTGGGCACGGTCATGGCCTGTTCCCAGATGACTGTTTGCTCATCTGTGAGATCATCCCACTGCAGCCCTGCAGAGGGAGGCAATGAGCAAAGGGCCATATGGGCTCTGGGTCCCGGTGGTGGGTCCCAGGGTGGCAAGGCACTTACCCTCTCAGTCTGGTCTACCACTGTAAAGGGTAGTGTAGGGCTCCTCCCCATGGAATTTAGGTGTCTTGTGCTTTCTGCTATTGCCACAGGCTGTACGCACACCCAGCTATCCCACTGCTCAGTGACTTCACCCAGCAGACACTTGGGACTGACCACCACCAACCAGGTCCTGTGACAGGCTCAGTGACCTTCACTATTTTAACACACACTCTTGACAAACAATACGGTGATGCTAGAAGATGTTATTTCTTACATGCTATTGTGGTTTAGGTTTCCCTCCACCTCTATGTATATTTCTTGATTGATTTAAGATTTAGCACTGTAGGTAACAATATATTATGTAGTTATACAGTCTGAAAGAGCTAGAAGGAAGATATTGAATATTCCCAACACAAATGATAGATGTTCAAGATGCTGGATATGCCAATTACCCTGATCTGATCGTTATGCATTATTTGTATCGAAACATCACTGTGTATCCCATAAGTATGTACCGTTATTTTATGTCCATTTGAAAAATGAAAGAAAAAGTGTGAAAAACATTTACCTTTAGATTTACCTTTGATATCCTTCCTCTGTTCTGGAACATTCTCAACTATTATCTCCTCAGTTCTCCCCTGACCTATTCTCTCTCTCTTCTCCTTCCAGAATGCTGATTGAACAGGCATCCATTAGATACTCTTACTCTGCCTGCTGTGCACATAAACTCTCTTTCATATTTCCTTTTTGACCCTCTATGCCGAACTCTGGATAATTTCTTCTGAGTTATCTTCCAGTTGACACATCTCTCTTCTGCTAGGTCTAATCTCTTCCAGAGTGTAGAAATGGAAGAATGACTCCTCAAGCCAATGTACCCTTGGTACTAAAACTCCAACAAGGACAGTATGAGACAGGAAAATTACAGGCCAGTCACACTTGTGAACCTGATACAAAAGTCCTAAACAAAACATCAGCCAACAAAACCCAACAATCTATAAAAGGAATAATATGTCATGAACAAATAGGGTTTATTCCAGGAATGCAAGATCGATCTACCATTAGAAAGCCAAATTACATGTTTACTACATTAACTGAATTGAAGGAGAAAGGTCATTTGAACCTGTCAGTAGATGCAGGGGGAAAGAATTTGGTAAAATTGAAAAGCCGAGCACGATTTTAATAAAGCCACACACTTTGACCCACCAGGAGGTCCCTCAGCTTGCTAATGAATACCTCAAAGAAGCCGTGGCAAATGGCATCCTTTGTCATGAAATATTGAGCTCTTTATGGTAAGGAAAAAGGCCAGGATGTCTGCTCTCACCATTTCTATTCAGCGTTGTCCTGGAGGTTCCTGGACAGTTTGGCAAGGTGGGAAAAAATAAACAAGGAAGTATTGGAAGGGAAGGTGCCCAGGTGACTCCTGGTTTCTTGCTTGTGCTCCTGCGAGGATGTTTGTGCCATTTACCAAGATGGGAAAGACTGAGAAGCCCCGGGCTGAGTGTTGGGAGCACAAGAGAAAATGGCCTGGCTTCCTTGGAAAGATCACCAAGAATGGAATCAGGACACGTCGGCTCCATTCCCAACTCTTCCCCCGACCTTGGATGGACTGCTTTCCTCCCTGGACCTGAGTCCCCGTCTGTGAAATGGGTGGGCCGGAAAGATGGATCCAAGGTGGGCTGTGATGGCCAGATCTGGTGGGAAACCAGAGAGAAACAGGGGAAGCTGGCTCCCATTCTCCAGGAGGGCAGGCTTTTGTGTGCAGAGCCTCTGGTGGGAGGAAACATCTGTTTGGGGATAGGGCAGGAGTCTGACCAAGTCAGGGCACCGTCTTGACCCTCTGCCTTTGCAGAGGCGTCATCCCTTCTCTCCTTTGCCACGGGGTTCCTATCGTTATTGTCGTTGCTGTCATTGATGTTGTTGGGTGTGTTCTGTGGTTGTAAGGCACTGACCCCCACCAACATGTCTTTTTGATGTTTTAGACCTTCAACAGCCAGAGCGAGAACAACGAAGACTATGAGATCCCCCCGATAACACCTCCCAACCTCCCTGAGCCATCCCTCCTGCACCTGGGGGACCACGAAGCCAGCTACCACTCGCTGTGCCACGGCCTCACCCCCAACGGTCTGCTCCCTGCCTACTCCTATCAGGCCATGGACCTCCCAGCCATCATGGTGTCCAACATGCTAGCACAGGACAGCCACCTGCTGTCGGGCCAGCTGCCCACGGTGAGTCCCTGTCACCTGCTGCAGTTCCTACTGATGACAGCAGGGAGGGGGTTGAGAGGGAAGCAGAAGAATGTTGATGCTTTGATAAGAACCCTCTACTCATGGGCAGGGCCTGGGTTCAGCAGGTTGCTTGCGTGGGAGTCTGTGGGACACGGCGGGTGGGCATGGAGAGAAATCTAATGTCAGCACGCTCCTTCCTTCTGGAGCTCTGGGTACAATATCTCGGTATTGATTTGCATTATTTATTAATAGGATAATCTCATTTTTATTTTTTAACAGTTTTATTGAGGTATAATTTATATTCCATACAATTCACCCATTTGAAGTATACTACTTAATGGCTTTTCGTATATTCACAGAGTTGTGTGACCATTAACACAATTGATTTTAGAACATTTCATCACCCCATAAAGAACCACTAGCTAGGCACAGTGGTATGTACCTATAATCTCAGCTACTTGGGTGGCTGAGGTGGGAGGATCACTTGAGCCCAGGAGTTCTGGGCTGTAGTGCACTATGCAAATCAGTTGGCTGCACTAGCTTTGGCATCAATATGGTGACCTCCTGGGAGTGGGGGACCACCAGGTTGCCTAAGGAGGGGTACACTGGCCAAGATCGAAAACAGAGCAGGTCAAAACTCCTCTGCTAACCAGTAGTGGGATCGTGCCTGTAAAAAGGCGCGGCACTGTGGGCAACATGGCAAGACCCTATCACAAAAAGAAAAGAAAAATGTTGTATTGCCAGGCACGGTGGCTCACGCCTGTAACCGCAGCAGTTTGGGATACTGAGGCAGGAGGATCGCTTGAGTCTAGGAGTTCAAGACCAGCCTTGGCAACATAGCAAGACCCTGTCTCTACAAAACAAAATAATTAGCCAGGTGTGGTGGCATGTACCTGTAGTCCTAGCTACTTGGGAGGCTGAGGTGAGAGGATCACTCAAGCCCGGGAGGTCAGGGCCGTGGTGACAGAGTAAGACCCTTTCTCAAAAAAACAACTGCAAGAAACATCATATTTTTGGCCGTCACTCCCAACCCACCCCCTGAAATCTTCAGCCCTAGGCAACCACTAATTGACTTTGTGTGTTTATAAATTTGCCTATTCTGGACATTTCATAGAAATGGAATCATATAATTTAAAAAAATTGTATCTTGCTTAAGCTGCCAGAGAAGAGGGTGATTACTGAGTTAAAGTTCATGGGATAGGTAAAAATGTAGCAGGCAGACGAAGGCAAGAAAGAACCTTTCCCAGATTAGGGGAATAGCAGGTACAAAAGGAGGGCAGCAAGGGTGCTCGTGCCATGCTTGGGAATGGTATGTGGTTCATTCTTTTTATTGGGATAAAGAGGAAGGACCTGGAGTGAAGGAGAGAGAGAGGAGATGAAAGAGCTCAGCAGGGCCTGCATCATAAGGGTCCTGAATCCCATTCTAAGGAGATATATATCCTTAGAATGGCTGATTTGAGGCCAGGCATGGTGGCTCACCACTCTAATCCCAGTACTTTGGGAGACCGAGGCGGGCGGATCACTTGAGGGCAGGAGTTCAAGACCATCCTGGTCAACATGGCAAAATTCCGTCTCTACTAAAAATACAAAAATTAGCCAGGCATGGTGGCACACACCTATAATACCAGCTACTCAGAAGGTTGAGGCACGAGAATTGCTTGAACCTGGGAAGTAAAGGTTGCAGTGAGCCGAGATGGTGCCACTGCACTCCAGCCTGGGCCACGCAGCAAGACCCTGTCTCAAAAAAAAAAAAGTAATAATGGCTGATTTGAGCCATCAAAATCTATAGAAGAATGGTAGAGCAGTAGAGCATTTTTTTTTTTTTTAATACCATAGAAAAAATCTCCTTAAGGGAATTCTAGTGCTACTTCTCAACAACTGGGACTTGTGTTTATTTTTGCTATTTTTCCCTTCACACTTAATATTACGTACTAGTCATGACTCTTACATTCATTTTTAAGTGACAGGGACCAAACTCAAACTTATGCAAAAGAGTCTGAAATATCCAGGGAGTGGATACAGGGTTTCAGGCATGGTTCAATCCAGGAACCCCACCAGTGTCACAAGGCCCATTTCCACACAACAGGCTTGATGGCTGCTGGCAGCCAGCATCTTCCCTGACATCTCTGGCAGAGAGGACCATGACAGCATCGCTGGACAGACCACTACGTCTAGGAGGAAGCAGTTCACTACTTTGTCATCTTGAGTCACACATGCACCTGTGGCACGGGAGGAGGGCTGCTTAGTTGATTTTCCTAGCAGAATCTCATGGTTTGGGGTGGCTTGTGTCTACCTCTACCATGACTCTTCAGAAGCCACAGTCAAATCTGTGGCCCAGTTCTAGCAGACCCCTGGGACCTTAGGACGTGGCTTTGTAGTCAAACGATCTCAACTGTATTTTGTTTATTCTTCTTTTATTACCACTAAACTTCCTTGTTTAAAAAAGCTGGTGTCCTCTTGTAATTTTGTAAGGCACGTCACATTTTTTTTGTTTGTTTTTGAAGCTAGGTGGGAAATAAAAGGAGACAAGGAAGGGAAGGAGGATGGGAGGAAACCAACTTGAGATCCACATTTTATAGTGTTTGGTTCTCACGAAAGAGTTCAATGAAAATGGATGCTCCTTTCTCCAGAAATTTTTTCCTGGTGGGTCCATCAATAATGCAAGTCCTCAGCTTCCTCTTCTCTCTCTCAAACCTAGCGATTCAGACTCATACCGCCATGTCTGGAATGGTTTTAACCCATTTATGCCTGAGGTTGCAATTTTTTGAATTTTTGCATTCAGACCTTGGCAATGAACTTGAGCAGTAGGATATAAATAACTCCCAGATGCTTAGCATTTCAATAATGGAACACTAGGCATAAATGGGTTTCCAGTTCGTTAGAATGTTTGTACCTTACTTGCTTACCGGGCTCATTTTCTAGCAGGAACCTTACTGCTCAGGACCATCCCTGTTTGGGATTTATGGTGATACAAGCGAGAGCAGGGTCAGGTGAGCACCTTGTCATCTGCTAGCAGGGATGTGGTGCAGGGGTGAGCATGGCTACAGTTTGGGGCCACTGTGTCGCTGCCTTTGGTACTGGGGTGAATGGAGGCAGTGTGGGGTGGTGGTTGATCCCTGACACCCCAGTTAGATCCTGGCTTCACCTTTGAAGCCTCGGTTCCCTTGTCTTGGAATCATAATCGTACCCACCTGAAGATTGTGATGAAGTGTATCAGAGATAATGTATGTAAAGTCTTAGCAAATGTCTGGCAGAGAGTAAACATTCAATGAGCATTTGCTATTGTTATTTGTAGTAAAAATGAATTCCCACTGTAACTAAATGGCAGTGTTTTCCCTTAAGTCTCATTTACCTAAAGGAGCAGACTGCAGACACCCTCAGGTACATTTGTAGGGCCACCTGATTATAATAGCTCTGATCATTACAAAGCATGTTATCTTTTTATCAAAGATGACCCCCTAATCTCCCCTCCTAGGAAATGCTTTTGCTGGGCTCTGTCCAAATAGGCACTCGCAGTCGCTTCCCAGATTTTCTTTAAAACTAGCTCATGTTTAAGAGGCTTCACAAATTCAGATAGCCTTAATTCTTCCATTAGTCAGACTTTGCAAGGGTTCACTGAATTTTATATTCCCTCTTTATGTCATGAAAGATAAGCCAAACTCTATTACCCAGGGGAGGGCACCCGGACCAACTGGGAAAACCAGATAAGAAGATGTACATGCGTTGGGACTATCTGGTGAAGAGAGACAAGGGACTCTTCAAGACGAAGTTTTTAAATTCATCTGAACCACAGGACAAAGGGGCGTGGCTTTATGTGCGTGGGCATACACGCTACGTGGGTGACGCTGGAATTGGTGTTAACACCTGCTGGGTGTCAAGCACCGTGCAGAGGGCTTTCAAATGTTTTCTTGCATAATCCCCCCAAGAAGCAAACTGAGGGATCGTGATAATACTATCATGAAGGGATGGAGACCCCAAGGTGGCAGGTGATTATATTAGTGTGCCACGGCTGCTCTAAGAGATTTCCACCAACTTGGGGGCTTAAAAAAACAGATTTATTCTGTCACACCTCTAGAAGTCCAGAGGCAGTCTCCTTGGGCTGAAATCACGGTGTCAGGAGGAACTCACTTTCCCCAGAGGCTGTCGGGGGGAACCCAGCCTTGCTTCTCCTCCGGCTCCTCGGGGTTGCTGGTCTTCCCTGGCTCGTGGATGCATCATTCTGATCTCTGCCTCTGTCTTCACATTGCCTTCCCTCTGTCAGCAAAACTCCCTTTGCCCCTCTTCTAAGGACATTTGTGACGGCATTTAGGGCATTTGGGGATAATCTAGGATAATCTCCCATCTCAAGATCCTTAATCACATCTGCAGAGACCCTCCTTTCTAAATACAGTACCATTTACAGGTTCCAAGGATTAGGACCTGATATCTTTGGGGGGCATTTTTCAACCTACTACAGTGATCCTCAGCTGTGTGACAGCCTTCACTGAGCACCCACTAGGTTCAGGCATTGTTCTAGGCTTGGGACCTACAAGATGCCCTTGAGGGACGCCTGGTGCCAATGGAGAGAAGGTGAAGAGCCGATTTCTAAACTGTGGTACATTCTCTAATAGCATCAGCGTGTGGTGCTCTGTGCCCGGAAGAGGCCCCTTAGATGTGGGGTTATCACTTCCTAGAGGAAGTGTCCCCTGATGCAGAGTAGATTCTGTAAGTCCTTTGTGAATGAATTACTGTCATACAGCTCCTAAACGGCAAGGTCAGAATGCAAACCCAGCTCTATCCCCTGTCATCCATCCACCTCTCAGTTTTACCAGATGACTGAGGGATGGTGCGGCCGGGCTGCAGAGTCACAGGTGGTACAGAGGATGCGCTGATGGCCAGGGTGCTTCAGGCATTGTCTGCACAGATTGAGATACACTGAGGATGTCATCCCTGGAGAGGCGGGCAAGGCCAAGGCATTTGACAGCCATCTCATAAATGCCAAAGCCCCTTTGGCTCTGATC